CCTACGGAGAGGCCAAGTTTTGAGTTAAGAACTGAAAACAATTCTTCAATAAATGATACTTGCTCTAGCTTTTAAGCTACGTATTAGCATAACATGAGTAAGGATCAGCTTACATATCTGCAAGTTTTACACAAAGTGCACTTATTTCAAATTTTAAATTATTAATATAATACTCGAGTTACCTTACATTAAAATTTTAAAATAAGTGATTGAGAATTTGTGTTGAAAAATTAGAAGTTGATCGTCACCCACATTACATACATAATTTTAAGATTAAATACTTAGAATTTGATACACGGGACAGTCCATTTATGCATTAATCGTGGTAGATGATAGTTCCTTTTACAAAACATGCTTAAGTGGCTTGAAAGTCAACTATGAAAGTGATGTGTTCGTTAGTTTAGTTAGATTTTCTTTTTTCTTTTTTCTTTTTTTTTTTTTGGTCCATAGGGAATTATTGAGGAAAAAGAATATTGTTCAAGTAGTTAATGGGAGTTAAATTTTCAACTAACTGAATTCAAGCACTAAGATTTAAGGACAAATCGTTAGGTTCGAAGGACAGATTCATTAGTTTATTAGTTCTTTTTTCTTTCTCTTTTTCTTTTTTTGTATATGAGAAATTATTAGAGAAGGAGGATAATTTTCAACATAAATCATTAGATCTAAAGGACCGTTAGTTCAATTAAGTTTTGTTGAAGCACCTTAAAAATATTAATGTGGCTTAAAAATACTAACGAGTTCAACATTAATTTGATGTGGAAAGATTTCTTCGCTAACATGCATGATTTGTACTATGAACTTAATAAACTACCCTTTATTTGGCTTCAAATTTATAAAATACACCATTTTCACTTTCTTCTTCTTCCTCGTTTCCTTTTTACTGTACAAAAACTCTATTTTCAAAATTAAACTTTTACTTTTCACATACTCATAAATAAAGAAATTCCAAATGCTGATCACAACAACAAAAACAAAATTTCAAATCAAAATCTCACATATTGAAATCACAACAACCGAAAAATATTGAAATCACAACACCAAAAAATACAATTTCTTAATTTGTAAAAAATTCATAAATATTTGACTTTGAAATCCATTAATCTGCTAAAATTAATTAAAAACTATTGACTATCCCCTACTTTTCACAATTTGAACTTTCTACTCAATCAAACACAAAACTTTTTGTGGAATTATTTATAAAACAAAAGCCCATAGAGATCCCATGCAAAATCATTATCCATTCTACAAATAGACACATCTTCTTCCTCATCTCTACTAATCTATGCCTTCTTTCAACTTCCCATCTTTTTGTCCTCTAGAGATCCCCCTCGTGATTTTGCCGTTGGCTACAATAGCCTCCTTTTCGACAAGCGAGCTTACTCTTGTTTTAGATCTGTTATCCTCTTGCCACCTTCTCAACAATATGACATAGGAGATCTTCTTCTCGACCTTAAGCAACCAACCTAATCCAAGCAACGCGTCTTGTTCATGGCCAAACTCATGGGAAAATTCTTGCTCATATTGGGATATGGGGTTTCAATCTAGATCCACAACTTATTTCACTCTGAACTGTAGTCACTTTACTCATTTCTCACTAACAGTGTTGTCTGGTACTATTCCACGAGGTCGGATTCGCCATCATGAAGCACCATATCTAATTGTCCATCAAAGAGAACCAAAACTAGTTCTTCTCAATGAAGAAGAAGAACATTTAGTTCCATTTATTTCTATTTTGTTCTTTTCAAGAATGTGGGACAAGTCCTGCAAGATGTGGGCCCAAGTAATGTGTTGGATGCCACATCATGAAAATGTTGCCACTTCTTTATAAATTGTTCATGTAATTTTAACGTCAACTAAATTGTGATGAATTATAATGGCATGTAACTTTGCAATTGCTTTTGGGTTGGTGGTTTTTTTTTTTTTTTTTTTTTTTGAGTTTTAAATTATGAAAGGGTTAATAGAGAAAATTTTCTTTAAGGTGTTGATTATAAATATATATATATATATCTAAAGAGCAAATAGTAATTTTGGCCTACTTAATTCTATCTTACCATTTATGGTTCCATAGCTTGTACTTGGTGAATAGATGTCCTTGGCCTCCCAAAAGCTTGTGCTACCTCTTAGTCTTCGTGCTAGGTTATGATCACATCCATTTGTTGTTTTGATATTTTGTCATCAATTTTGAGGTTCCAACAACTGATGTCCAGTTACTAAGGAACACCATGGATGTGGGATGTGGGATGTGGGATGTGGGATGTGGAACCTAGTGTAACAGAAGTTTCTCAAGATAAATTGCATAGCAATAGTTATAGTGACAGTAACATGTAAAAAGCTAAGTAGAAAGAATGTCATCATGAGTGTCTGAAATTGTTAGACATTCATAATTGTTGTGTCAATTTTTAGGGGGAGTAGGGATGTTAGCTATCAACAATTCCCAACCTACAGATGGTCATCCCAACGATCAAGAAAACTATGCAATTAGAGAGTCATGGCCTCCTTTCTCAGGTTCTTGATTGCTCGTTTTCTTCTTTTTATGAGACCACTTGGTATTTATGGATGATGCTTGCTCAAAAGAATTTTCAGGTTAGAATCCTATGATAATAAGACTAGGTGCTTCATAAACAATTAAATTTGATGTCTAAGAGAGAGTAATTTAATTGATTAAGGTTGCATTTGGGGTTGCAGTTTGGAGTTTTTTCGTGTAATCACACAACACTTTTAGATATATGTGTGTCTAGTAATTTTTTTTCAAACTGTTTTTTCTAAAAACTGTAAAAAAACTATAGTAAATTTACAATAATTTTATATATAAAACCACAAGTCTCTTTTTAAAACTTTCTAACTTTATCTTTTATAGAAAACACCTAATATTTAATATAGTTACAAAATTACCCATTAAAACTTAATTTTATATAATTTAATTACATCATATCGTATAATATTTTAATAATGATAATAAATTAAAAAACTTAAAATGTTAAAAAATAGTAAATATTATTATTTTAATAATTATATATTTACAATATTTTTTAAATTTTAATTAATAATTAATAAAATCTACTATATTTCATCTATAATATTTTTAAAAAATAAATAACCTAACAATATAATAACTTTCGGTCACAAGTACAGCATAACACAACACAACACAATTCAACACAACACAATTCAACACAATTTAACACAATTCCAATCACAGCACTTCATAATAATTCAAAACGCATCTTACATCTTTTAGATTTTAAATTAAAGATTTCAAAATTAAACTTAACTCAAACGGAGAGGAATTTGGAATAACCCATCATCAAAAAAAAAAAAAAGCCCAACAACAACCAGATTTTGTCCATAAACTAGTCAAAACCTAGGTTTTCTCTTCTCATAGCAACCGAGCAAAACTTCCTCTCGATACTTCAATTAAAGATCAGACAACAAGATCACAAAGAATTATTTTAATATTAAAAATTAAAATTTAAAAATAATTTTAATATTTTTTAAATTGAAAGGCAATTTTAATACAAATCTAAACAGAACAAATTGATTTTTAACTTTGCTTAAATAAATTAAAAAGTTAAGGGATCAAAAAGTTATTTTGGTTACTTCCTCTTCTCCTACCAGGGTTTCCCACACCGCATCCCTATCAGTTGCGATGTTTTCTATTACAAAACGGCTGCGGACCTTAACCCAATGCCTCGGGTCTACAACTCACCAGCTCCGGTTCGCGAGAACAGACGCCGGTCAGTCCAGGAGGCGCTCCAAGTCATCGGGGTTTTCCTTGAAGAAGACGGAGGAGAAATCCGAGTGGTGGATTGTAGACGGTGAAATGCATGAGATCGGCGATCATGTCCCCCTGCGGGAGCGCTTTGTCATTCCTAGAGACAACATCCCTAACAAGCGTAGAAAGCAGCTTAGAGAGCAGTTCATGCGCCGCACTCGCCTCGTTCTCAAGGAATCGGTATGTATATATATCCACTTCCCTCTCGTTTTAGGTTTTTCTTTCAAAGCGTAGATAAAAAATTTTGAAATTGACAATTTGAAGCAGGGAGAGGTTCAATTGTTTAGTCTAGGATATTGAACTTGGATAAAGAAGCATGGTTATTGCCGTACGGGAAAATGTTATGGCCACACAATTTTGTTAATATGTCTGGCAACCATCTTCAATCCCTTATCGTATTTCATTGACATGCCATGTCACTCGAATTCAGTACCTCTTGTTTTCAGCATTGAATTATTTAGATAGTTGGCATTAATATGTCTTTAAAAATTTAAAAATACTAATTCTGTTTAATTTAGCCATTAAAAACAGTTAATAGCTGTAGTTATTAGCTGATAACTAATAGAATAATGGATATTTATTACTTAACAGATTAAAAATCTGTCTATAAATTGAAGTTTTTAAATATTATAACCTTGTTAGGGAAAAAACTTGTAATTTGTGTGGCCATAAAATTATTCTGTGTGGTAATAACCGCACCCGGATAAAGGCAATTATGATATGATGCAATAGAAGTTGGTAGATTGAATTGCTATGTTATGCTTATGCAGATGCAAATTTTACATTGAATGCTGCATAATTGATTCTGGACCATGGATGAATTAGTTGTTTTGTCTCTAACCTTATATATTTTGTTGTGCTGAAGGAGCATGAGCCTTGGTGCAAAAGGTATATGGAGCTTTATAATGAGCTTCGAGAGAATTGGGAAAGATTGTATTGGGATGAGGGTTACTCCAAAAAAATTGCCCAAGATCATGCAAACTATGAATCTGCTGAGGATGATGATCAAGATTTTAATCCTTACAGGTTTGTTTGTGCTGGTTTCCTGCATTTTTTATTGATTAATTGCTAAAGAAAAGCCTATGGAGAACATCTTTCTTGATGTTGCTAGAGCAGTAGAGTTTGATTTCTATGTGTTACAATGGATGAAGTAGTAATAGCTAGCATTGAGGAATCTGCTTATCTGATTATGTGCGCCTGTCCCTTCTTGTTCCAGTTGATTGACATAATCTGTTCAAGTTATGCTTTAAAATCTTTTTGTTTTTGTTCTATTTAAGATGGTTGAACCTAAATCTGTTACTGCAAGGTTTCAAGTAATGGTGCATAATTATGCTGCCTTTTGCTTTTATTATACAGGAGCAGGCGATCTCATCCTGATCAAATGAAGGTATGAGTTTGATGACTTGGCAGAATGTAATATTGGTGAATAATTTAGGAAATGATAAGAATTATCAGTGAAGTCTGGGAATGTGCTGTGATGCATGTTATTGTTGAAACCTGTTCTTTTCTTGTATTTTGAGAGCATTCAATCTAATACTACTACTTCAATTCTATAACCTTACTGAAGGACCAGGGTTTTGGGAGGAATAGGCAAGGTGATTCTTGGGACAAGGTCAGTCAGCTTCGGGACAAGTTTGAGTATGACAGAGAGAAAAGAATGAGGGAGAAAGGTATTCTCAATTTCATTTAACTGATTCTTATTTGGGAAAAATTCATTCTTTGCACTGGTCTTGCTTTCTTGGATGGATCCCTTGAAAGGCTTGCATATGTGTGGTGCATGTTTCTGTCTCTATTAGCATAGCAACTTAAATGGTTTTTAAATCTGATGCAGCATTTGCTCCAATGAATGGAGGCACTGCTTCAGACTTTTATGATACAAATTCTCGGAACCAGCCATTTGATACTCAGAGTTACTTCCCCTCAACTGAGAGAGACTAGTACATTGCCCCAAGGGACTGACCTAGGGATTCTTGAAGAAATATGCAAAGAATCTCTTTGATTGCACTTTGTCATGGCTAGGGACCCAAGACATCAAGAGCAGTTCATTATTCATGGCTAAAGATCTTCAGCAAGAGCATGAAAGAAACATGCCTGTAATTTTGGTATATCAACTGGGATATAACGGTTGTTGACACAAACATGAGGAATGAAGGCACTAGACAATGGTTGAAGGAACCTTGTAGTCTTCTGCACTAAGAGTTAGATCCTGTATTTATTTATTTTTAGCAAATGTCAATTGTGGGTTTACTCTTGGTCTCACCTAAGTATATTTTCAATTTAGATCTTTAGCAATTTGATTTTTGCAGTCATTACCTATTGCGGCTTTGTTCTTTAATAAAGTTCAGTTCCTGTCTACTCTACCCTGTCGTTTGTTCATTTTTTCAGAAATATTTCCATCTTGGCTAAGAGCACACTTTGATTAATGGATTCTGAAATATTATCATCTTCATTAATAATGAGGGGCTCTCTGTTTTATCATTCATACTGTATCTAATTACAGGAACCATTAAATGGGAAACAGCCTATGACATAACAAAAATCTGTTTTTATTTAATAATTTAAATCATGTAGTTCATGCTGCGTGACACTTTTTTCATAAGAATAATATAATATTAGTTATTTTTGGGTAGTGTAGTGGTTTTTTGTTTGGTAGTGAGGGTGGAGCCTGCCGGCTCGGTATTGTAGTGGAGTGGTTAGCACTTTACCAAACATTAAATTATTAATATGACCGGCGTGCAAGGCGATTGAAATTGATGCAGTTCTCTTTCCTTTTTTTTTTTTTTTGATAAAAAGTTCTCTTTCCATTCACCACTCAGAAAAGTCTTGTATTATTATCTCCTCCTTCTTTAAAGAAAGACATGGAGATTAAGTATTCCAGCCATGAACACCCGTCGGTGCTTGCAAAAGAGACGGATGATGAAAGCTCAAAAGATTATTGCTTTGGATGTAAGGAAGCAGTAGAAGGTTCCAGCTATAGTTGTGGCCAGTGCATCTTTTTTCTTCGTAGGAAATGTGCCCAGCTACCAGGTCAGATCTGTCGTCCCTCTCACCCGCAACACACTCTTGTCATTCTTAAACATAGTGAAAAGTGGAGGATTTTTTGCAATTTCAATCTTGACATTAGATGTGCTATCCATTCATAATTTGTCATCGGAGATTCTCTAAAGCTTCATCATTCTAGCCAAGATGATCCGGTTAACTTGTTGAACATATTGATCTTGGAAGAAAAATTGAAGTTTGCTCAATTAAATATAGAAGACCCATGTCAAGTCCTTTCTACTGGTGTCATGATTGAACATTTTACCTTCACAAGAAATGTGCAGAATTGCCCCTTGAGATCAAACACCCTAGTCACCGAAAACACCCTCTTATTCTTTTGGTCAAACCCCCACCACATCGACAAAATGTTCTTGCCATTTGTGCAACATGTCTATAATTTGTCTATTAATATTATAGCTGAAACTCATGAACATCCGTTGACCCCTTTTCAGCCACAATTCATTCATTTGCAATGCATGTGGAAGTGATGGAAATCGGTTTAGCTTTCCTTACATATGTTCTAAATGCAATTCTACGTTTAGATTATTCCTGCTTTGTGCTAACAAACATGATGATCTGAGCCAATGTTTGTGTGACATTTGAAGAACAAAGAGATCTGAATCAATGGTTTTATTATTGTGTGCCAGTTGCGATGTTTCTATTCATCTTGATTGTGCGCTTAGGCAATGCCCAGGCTGGGGAAACCATTCAAGTATGCTGTTCATGAACACCCTGTCACATTTGTGAAGGCAGATTTTAACCCTCGCCTAAATGCAACAAGTGTGATAAACCTTGTAGAGATGATCTATCCCTTCAATACTCAAGATCAGAGTGCCACTACATATTCCAGTAGATGTGTCTAGACGAAATGTATCTTCGACATCAGGACTAAAGAGGTGGTTGTGGTTTTGTTCTTATTTATATGATATTATGATTCCCATATATTTGTAACCTTGTTTTTTTCTTTGACCATCATTTGAAAATGCCTATGTTGCCTTTTCTTTCCATACCTATGATTTCAAACCTATTTGTATTTTGTGTAATTCAAATTCATAAGCTTTTACTTTAATTGAAAAAAAATTATAATTAAATTATTTAAATCATTGACATTTATAATTTTTCTTCCATAAATTAAATATATTTCTATATAAATTACAATGTAAGTATAAAAGTTCATCAATTGAATTCCCTATTTATGGCATTGTTTAATTTTCATTTGTTTGTAATTAGATAGTTTTTATTTGTTTTAAATTGGGTGTCATACCAAGCCAAAATACTTACTTTTTCACCCCCAACTTATTCATTGAAATTAGAAAGGATTCATATTGGTGTTTTCAGATGAAGCTCATTTTGTTGAGAAATGGCCTACACAATGCCTTTCCCAATCCCAGTGCTTCGAAGTAACCATTTGGCTAGAGGAACTGAGGAAGTGTCACCAAGTGAAACAAGGAGTTAGAGCATCAAGCAAAACATGAGCTATCCACTGTCATTCCCCTTGACTCTTTAGGAAGGATATATTTTTGTCGACCCTGATCATTTCTTGTGCTGCATTTGTCCTTGTGCTGCATTTGTTCGACAATCCATTCCTGCAAATCGTACGTTGATTCCCTTCAATCAGTACTTTTTCCATATGGTTGATGATGGGACAATGTGACCATTTAATTTTCAAATGCCACTTCACTCTTTCAAAAATTTAAATTCATAATTTTTAATTGACACTTGTGTTAGATTTTCAATCAAAATTACTTCTTGTAGTAGCAATTGTGTTTTTTTTTTTTTTTTTTTTTTTTTTTTTTTTTTTTGATATATGAGAAGTTAATTATTGTGCGTTATAAAATTTTAAACTTTTAACTTTGAATTTAAATTAAAGATTTTATATTTTTTTTATTAATCTTTTGGTATCAGATAACTATATTAAATCTTAATTAATTCAAAATCGAGTCAGGTTGAATCTTATTAGGAGAGAAATTCTCTTAACACCTAACTTCTTCATTTATAAGACCCAAACTTAAGATCTTAAATAAGGGGAAACTAAAATCTATTCACTTGGGCCAAATTAAAGATTTTATATCAATAAGTATTAATTTAACTTAATTTTTATTGGTATTCCTTGAAATACTTTTAATTTGAATCTTAAATAATTAATTATGGAATTAGATTTAGAATTAATGTTAATAAATTTTATTATTATTTTCATTTTTTGTTAAATTTATTTTTTAAACTTCTACTATAATGGAATAATACCTCATTCCCTCATTAGACCTGGCAAATAGGTCAGATTAGGTAGGTTCAGATTGGATCATCTTGGATATTGGATTATTCGGATTGGATCATTTCAAATGTTGAGTTAAGGAGATCGACCCATGACCCACCCACATGGGTCTCAGACTGGGTTGGATGGACCAAACTTTTAAAAAATTAAAATTAAAATTAAAATTTTTCTATATTTTTCTCTATTTTTCTTTAACAAAATCTAATACTAATTAACTATTTAGATTAAAAAAAACTTTATTACTAATTAACTATTTAATTAGAAAACTTATTAAATGATAATTTTCATTTCATAATTCAATTTCTTTCCAATCTCAAGAAAAGAAAAAGAAAATATTAGTGATTATATAGGTGGAACTAAAATATATATCAAATATATAATACTTATACAATATTTAGAATTCAAAATTTCATAAAGTTATTAACCTTTATTAAAAGATGAGACATGAAGGATTATAGTTTAAAAGGTAAATCCAATATAAATATTAATATCTAGTGCCTATTCAATATTCATAAGAGTATTATACAAAAAATACAATTCTATTTAATATTTAAGAGGACATTATACAAAAAAATATAATCTTATTTAATATTAAAGTTTGAAAGGCAAATCCAAAATATGTCTAACCAAATACAAGAAGAAATTGGATCGGAATTGATTTTTATTAATTAGGAACAAATGATTACTTAAGAACAAATTAGCAACTAAAAACGGACTTTGATGTTCTTGATGTTCTTATCTTTGTACTTTTAATGAGTATGAGGGTACTTTAATTATTGAATTTTAATTTTTAATAGGCATTCTTGTTTTTTATTTTAAAAAAATTATCTTTTTTACAATATCATATAACATAACTCATTATATGTCACATAATTTAATTTTGTATGTGAGTACCACCAAAGAGAAGGCTTAAAAAGCTTAGAATGAAGAAGGGGAGAGCGAGAGCAGAGAGCGAAAGTGGAGAATAGGAAAAGTTGAAAGAAAATGAAATTGATGAAAGATTAAGATTTGAGTTTGTTATTTATTTTACTTTTAGAATTAAAATATTAAAAATTAAAAATTAATTTTTAAGTAATCTAATAAAAAATAAAAAATAAAAATTCAAGTCATTTTAAGTGATTCAATCCATGCATTACTTAACTTATTTGGATTCAAATAATTTTAATTTAGATTATTTTAAATTTTAAAATAATATATAAAACCTATAACCCTACTTATAACGGATATGTTGAACCAAATTTTTGAATTAGGTGCAATTTTGGCAGCTCTATCCCTCGTTCTTTCCCACCCCGTTAGAACAAATAATCCCCACCGACCTTTCTTTGAGTTCAAATTCGAAATTTCTAGTATGAACTTAGAAATAATCATATTTTATTTTATAATTAAAACTATAATTATAAAATAAAAAATTTTAAATGAAGGGATAAGTGTAGTGCAGTACACTTCTTTGAAATAAAAATTTCCTGTACACTTTCGAGTTCCTTCACCAGCGTTAGCATTTCATTTTTCATTTATCAGGCTGGCGCCAAAAATCTCTTCAATTTATATAAGGAAAGAAGGTAAGCATATTTGAATTCGGAGATAAAAGAGAAGATGTGAAGATGAGTGGGGGAAGACTCTGCGCGTTGCTTTCCGAATTGGGGTACCAAGGGGCTGACAAATTAGACCGCGACAGCTTCGAGTGGCCTTTCCAGTACGATGACGCCCGCCCTATCCTCGACTAGATCTGCTGCTCCCTTCGCCCCTCCAACGTCTTCTCCCTCTCCGATCTCTCCCAGTGAGTTTCCTCTTCCTCTCTCCCTCATCTCCTTTTTCTTTTCTCCGTTTGCTTGTTTCCGAT